TAGCCTCACTTCTAATATGTTGCTAAACATTTGCTAGATACATGTTGGCTAGCTAATGAGCTTCACATATCAACCTGAAAAACGGCGAGGCTCCACTCGCAGCCCCTCCACCCCCCCCTCTGCACCACAGTTACTCCGCTGCGAGCCGCTGCACGCACGCCCAACTCTGACTGACTTCCCGCGTCCCTGTGTAACTGGGAAACTGATAGAATTGGATCATAAGATCGTGGTGTTTTTGCAACTTCAGCATAGGGGATAGGGATGTTTATTGAACTTCGGTTTAACACATGTATGGCTCTGCCGCTCAGCGCTGCTGCTTGCTTCAGTCTGTGTTCTTTCGCACCTGCCTATAATCTGAGAAGGTCCCGCCTCTGGCTGTCTCCCGCCCGGAAAATCAGATAGCGCTGTGGGCGGGACATTGCTCGTGTACACAGAGTGGTGACTGCAGCCAGAGAAACGGCTGATACCGATAATCGGTCAAATGCGGAATATCGGCCCCGATAATCGGCCAAGCCTACTCTCCAGTACAGCTTAGCTCTGAGTGTTAGCGAAGCTTGCTAAAGTAAACAGACTATTACGTCCAAAACACGTCGGGAATTGTTTCCGATACAGCGACGTTTCTGATAGTGCCGTGGGTCCACCAATTTTCGAATCATAAATCTATCGATCATAAATCTATCGATTAGATTTATGATTTGAATCCTCCACCCAGACCTCTGCTTACTGCCGTCCTACAGACTTGTGTCTTAGTTTCAGAATTAGATTTTGTATGTGTCCTTTCTTTAATAGATATTTAACAATTATAGCTTGAGTCTGTCTGATTCTCCAAACAGCTGCTTCTATATACACTGAACAAAAATATAAATGCAACACTTTTGTTTTTGCTCCCATTTTTCATGAGATGAACTCAAAGATCTAAAACATTTTCTATATACACAAAATAACCATTTCTCTCAAATATTGTTCACAAATCTGAAAAAATCTGTGATAGTGAGCACTTCTCCTTTGCCGAGATAATCCATCCCACCATATCAAGATGCTGATTAGACAGCATGATTATTGCACAGGTGTGCCTTAGGCTGGCCACAATAAAAGGCCACTCTGAAACATGCAGTTTTGCTTTATTGGGGGGGTCTGGGGGGGTCTGAAAACCAGTCAGTATCTGGTGTGACCACCATTTGCCTCACGCAGTGCAACACATCTCCTTCGCATAGAGTTGATCAGGTTGTTGATTGTGGCCTGTGGAATGTTGGTCCACTCCTCTTCAATGGCTGTGCAAAGTTGCTGGATATTGGCAGGAACTGGAACACGCTGTCGTATACGCCGATCCAGAGCATCCCAAACATGCTCAATGGGTGACATGTCCGGTGAGTATGCTGGCCATGCAAGAACTGGGATGTTTTCAGCCTCCAGGAATTGTGTACAGATCATAGACTGTATATATAAATGGACGTAGTGTCCGTGACGTCACCCATAGGATTCTGCAGAGTTGCAGAGAAGCCCTTAGTAGACGGAGTCGGCCACTAACGGCTTGACAGCAACGTCAGAGTCTAATCCCGCCTGCTCCAAATAAGGGCAAAGAGGCGGAGCCGAGGCCGGACCTGCTGCCTCCGAACTGGAAGTAAACAGAGCTAGCTCAGGCTAAGAAGCTAAGCTAACATGAAATACATGCATACCAAGTTACTGCTAACAGTGTAGTTCCCCTATATAAACGCTACATTCATAATCAAATGAGACAATCTGCAAGAGAATTAGCTATATGTTGTTATTCTTAATGCTTGTCATTCACACGTTAAGAAAATAAGTACCGATACATAGCAGAACAATTGTGGCGATGTTCAGCTTAATAAGCCTTGTTCAACATAATTTATTTAGCTAATACTACAGCAGGCGAACCAAGTCTGCGTTTCGCTGCATTCCTTGATCTCCAGTTATAACGACGGACTCTACCGCCCCGGACCTAACGGAGCCGCAGTGGGCTAGCTCCGGGACGCCGGCTGGAGCTAGCCCCCTGCGGCTCCGTTAGCTCCGGCGGCCACCACTGGGAGAATTTGGTCCCCTATTAACATTTGCTCCCGTTTAGCATTATAGCCATAGACTATAAAAGTCTTACACAAGGCTGAATCATAAACTAAAATGTATATGTATGCATAAAGGGTTACGTCCTTAGCTGGCTAATAAGTAACAAGCTAAGCTACCAAGCACACAAACACCTGCGAACGGGGTTAACATGTATAATATTATCATTTTAGACTTCTTGGAAGTTCTGTTAGTACATTCAAGCGCACAGCACGACATTTTAATTGTCTGGTATTTGTAACAATATTCCCTAAAAGGCACAATCACCACGAACACGGCTAAAGCTAAAGGGTCAAGTACAGTACTATGACTAACTAACGTTGTAGCCTAGCAGAGTGGACAAGTTGCTGTTAGCTGACAGTGAGGCATGTACATGTCCATCAAAGTGACCACGCCCTAATTTATGCAAAAACTTTAAGACCTAATATAAATAAAAGGGTCGTGTTAGAAAACAATTCACTCACAGATTCATAATCATGAAGGTGGAATCTAACTATATCGATAATAATATTTATTGCATCCATGGGTAGAAACATGTTTTTTTCTGCTGTAAAGTTGGGCATTTTAACATGGGGGTCTATGGAAATTGCTCCTTTCTGCAGCCAGTCCCTAGCGGCCCATGCATGAACTGCAGTGTGTGGCACTTCCATATTGGCGTCCCGGCTGTTCCCCAGAGTTTGCCGCTTGGTACAGATCCTTGCAACATGGGGCCGTGCATTATCATGCTGCAACATGAGGTGATGGTCGTGGATGAATGGCACAACAATGGGCCTCAGGATCTCGTCACGGTATCTCTGTGCATTCACAATGCCATCAATAAAATGCACCTGTGTTCGTCGTCCATAACATACGCCTGCCCATACCATAACCCCACCACCACGGGCCACTCGATTCACAACATTGACATCAGAAAACCGATCACCCACACAACACCACACACGCTGTCTGCCATCTACCCTGAACAGTGAAAACCGGGATTCATCCGTGAAGAGAACACCTCTCCAACGTGCCAGACGCCATCGAATGTGAGCATTTGCCCACTCAAGTCGGTTACGACTACGAACCGGAGTCAGGTCGAGACCCCGATGAGGACGACGAGCATGCAGATGAGCTTCCCTGAGACGGTTTCTGACAGTTTGTGCAGAAATTCTTTGGTTATGCAAACCGATTGTTGCAGCAGCTGTCCGAGTGGCTGGTCTCAGACGATCTTGGAGGTGAACATGCTGGATGTGGAGTAGTGTTAATTTCGTCAGCTATTTTTTTATTTAGTTTTAGTCTTAGTCCTGTGTTAAATTTCCTTTTTAATTTTAGTCATATTTAGTCACCTTCATCCTGTTTTTATTTAGTCAAGTTTTAGTCGACTAAAAGTCTGAGTATTTTAGTCTTATTTTAGTCGACTAAAACAGTAAACTTTTTAGTCAAGATTTAGTCGACTAAAAGTCTGAGCATTTTAGTCATATTTTAGTCAAAGAAAACTAATTATTTGAGTCTACTTTTTGTCAATGAAAACTGTTGTCTTTTTTTAATCATCAGATTATAAAGAACATTTCAGTCAAACTAGTCTAGCCAAAACCAATAATTTGTCATTTTAGTCAAACGTATTTCACAATAAGATTATATCTTGTCCTTATTTGATGAAAAACACAGGTTGAATGATTAAGAATGCAGCTTTGCAGAGATTATCTGGTCAGGTTTGTGGTGTTTTTACCTCTGTGTTATGGCCACATTGCTTCCCTTCTGATAAAACAATGCATTCGCTTTTTTTCTCCACCTCATTGTAGCGAAAATGGGCCCAAATATAACATCGTTTCTTTCTCCCAAGCATTGGTGGCTTTAGACTTTTTCGTTGTCAGTAATTTTGACGGACAGGATCGTAACATTTCCGTCATAATCCATTATTATCCGTCGAGTGCACAATTTATCAATCACTCGCGCTGACGGGGGACGGGGGGGGGTCTTCGGTTAACGCGAGTGCGACCACTGCTCCCAAGCCCTGTTGTTGCCATTTTATTTTCTGTTAAATAAGGTTAGTTGGACCATGAGTTAGACCCGAGTCTTCCTGACAGTTCACAGTGTGCCGCTGCCCGGTGTAATTCAAATGTACCGCCGTGCGCAGCACAGACACACACAGCTGCTGCCCTGCCGCAGCACCGGAAATGGAACTGCTGGGAGAAAAACTGACTATCAGAGATGTAACGTTATCTTTGATAATATTTCGTCACGTCACTTTTCGTCAACGATATTGCATGATGATTTTGTTACAGTTATTGTTTACTGCCGTCGGTGCCGTCTCGTCATCGGCTCGTTTTCGTCATGGAAAAAAAGGTTGTTGACGAACATATTTCGTCATAGTTTTAGTCAACGAAATTAACACTAATGTGGAGGTCTTGGGCTGGTGTGGTTACACGTGGTCTGCGGTTGTGAGGCCGGTTGGATGTACTGCCAAATTCTCTGAAACGCCTTTGGAGACGGCTTATGGTAGAGAAATGAACATTCAATTCACGGGCAACAGCTCTGGTGGACATTCCTGCTGTCAGCATGCCAATTGCACGCTCCCTCAAAACTTGCGACATCTGTGGCATTGTGCTGTGTGATAAAACTGAACATTTCAGAGTGGCCTTTTATTGTGGCCAGCCTAAGGCACACCTGTGCAATAATCATGCTGTCTAATCAGCATCTTGATATGCCACACCTGTGAGGTGGGATGGATTATCTCGGCAAAGGAGAAGTGCTCACTATCACAGATTTTTTCAGATTTGTGAACAATATTTGAGAGAAATGGTTATTTTGTGTTTATAGAAAATGTTTTAGATCTTTGAGTTCATCTCATGAAAAATGGGAGCAAAAACAAAAGTGTTGCATTTATATTTTTGTTCAGTGTACTTGCTGCACATACAATACAAATAAACAACTCCATAAAACACACTTTTGCTGATATTTATTTTACTGTTGGTGATGTTAAATAACATGATTGATTTCCTCTGTCTCAATGATGAAAGTTATAATAATAGAAGACATGAAGCTGCAGAGAGAGGATGGATATATTCTTACCTCTACTTTGTCATTAGATGAAAATACAAAATCAAATTAAAATAGTAATTGTTAAACACGTTTATTTCATTCACTGAGGTTTTAACCATTATTTACAACATGTGTACATAAGCAGTGGAATAATAGGATATCTCTAGGTCATTCAACTGTCTTAAGTTCAGTTTAATTGTATTAATACAAAAAATAGGTCATAGAAAATGTTTTAATTGTGTATTTCAGCAGAGCGGGGGGTCACGGTGCTGCTGGACCTGGAGGTGCTGATCTGGAGTCAGTGAGACATCATCTGGGCTGGTTCAGGGGTGGAAGGAGAATATAAACTGTTATAATCACAGCTATTAAGATTAGAACACTAATATTGTTAAGAATCAATCAATACAACATGCTTTTGTTCATTTAAAAAAAACATTGTTTTATTAGTACAGAAAAATTAAGACTTATTTTAAATATGATTAAATTACATCAGCTATATATATATAATGTACTTGTTAACCTACTAATGTAACATTACTGGGGGCTAAAGGAACAGCTTAATCTTATTTACCTGCCCATGGTCCTCTTTATTTCATCGCCGACGGTGATCTCCAGAAAATGGTTAAAGTAAAAAAGTAAAGTTTCTGGATCCTTTTCAGCTGAGTTAGCTTGTAAGCTAATTTGCTAGGAGGCTGCTGGAGCAGCGCAACAGAACAGCGCGTATCACGTGACGTAAATAGGAAGCGTCCGTAGGCTAGACCGTCACATTTCGTAGGCCGCTCGGTCCAGCCTACCCGGTCTACGTGGGCTGGGTCCTCCGTGGACCGCGTAGGCTGCAGCCCCTGAATTGAGACAGTGGCCGTTTCTCAATCGCGAGTACACATGCTGCAGAGCAACTATTTTAAGTACACTACGTCATCGAGTGGCGCAGAAGGACTGTTTAAATGCCCAGCATTCTACGCCACTCTATGACGTAGTATACTTGAAATAGTTGCTCTGCAGCATGTGTACTCGCGATTGAGAAACGGCCACGGCCTATAGCCAGTGGCGACTGGTCCCTAGGTGGGGCACAGAAAGTATTAAAAATAATGATTACAACAAAATGCAAAAAATAAATAAAAAAATATCATGTTTAATCATCTGATTCGTCTGTACATTGCTGTTTTAGTCTGTGTTATTCAAATTAGTGTCTACAGTGTGTGCCTATTGTGCTGTTTAGAGCCATGTGGGACAAAATCCGATCCTGCCCCTCCCTCTCACTGTCTAAGTGAACGGTGACTGTAAAAACTACACTGCGCATGCTCAGAATATTTTCCTATTTAATGTGTGTGGCAAAAAAATAATGACCATAGGGGCATAGAGCTGCCATCCCCACCATACGTCATCTCACATCATTCAGAGCTGATTGGCTGTAAGTACGTGTGCCGCGAAAAGTGTGGTGTGTGAAGAGGAGACGAGAGAGCTGCAGTGAGGCGTCCTAAAACCAGGAAGTAAGCTGCGCATGGCTTTCCTTGACAAAAAAGCAATGAGATTTCTCCATAGGATTTTAGAAAATAGCTCCAAATAAGGTCTGTGGTTAACATAGCTGTTAGATAAATTTACGTTTTGTTCAGTCGGATAATATTCACATGTCTACCCTACTTTTATAATTTTCGAATCATAAATATATTGATTAGATCAGATTTATGATAGACTTTTGAAACTACAAGAACATAAGGAGGACTTTTACAAAAAAGTAATAGAGATTTTTGTCCAGAAGGATAGGCAAATGGACTTCATCTTCAAGTCAAGGTAAGACCACAATTTTATTGAAAATGGGATCTTACTAAGAGAGAACAATTCAATATTTAAAGGATACAATTACATTTTTTGGGTATCCTTCTGTTGAACTGTCTGTTTAAAATTAATTGAAGCATCAGACAAAAAAAGCTTTTGAAAATTGTAAACCTGAAGAGTCAGTGCCTCACCAGCCATGAACCTCACTGCAGAAGCTTATATATAGACATCTAAGTTTTTTGTGCACCACCACTTTTGTACATATAAAAACGCCACTGCCTATAGCATGTGAGCTAGACATGACTGAGAGCTGCCTCAGCACAGAGCACATGACTTGCATTGAGTCATGCTCAGCACAGAAACACGTACCTTACTTCTTCAAATCGCTAGTGCAAGTTCACGTGTTACCAGACACTCAATAGATTACCATTATCATTTTGGCTAGTACGTGAAACAATTTACTAGCCACTTGCACATTTTAGCATTTGGCTGGTTTCTAATGATTTGCCCTGCTGGGCATAAACAGCGGATGACTGCTGCAGCTGTACGTGAGCGTGTAGCAGCAGGAAACTCTGACACACGCACCATTACTAACATCGGCAAAAGGGAATTTTCAATAGGCTAGGATACATTCAATCAGTTCATTTTAGCTTAGTTTAGATTGTCCCTGACAATAGAGTATCTTTAATACGTCCTGCGCTTTAATATCCTGTAGCCTGAACGTTACATATAGCTATCCACTAATAGGTGTTGACATGAATATTCCACCATATCCATAGTAATGTTAAAAGTATCTCAGACTGGCACAAGTAGATATGAAGGCTAATGTCAGCTGATGTTAGCCGCTAACTTAGTTAGCTGCTAATATGAAGTTCTTTTCACACGGTAGTTTGTTATCACAGAGCTAAGCTCTCACACATTGTTCTTCAGGCTGATACTTACTATTCGGGATTCATTGTGGATGCGGTGTATAGTGTATCCCTGTCTGCAGATAAACAGCTAGCTCACACTGCTCCAGAAACACAGCCGGCTAGTTGTTTCTTGTTAAAAATCCAAAATGGCTCCAACCAGGAAACAGCTACCATCAGCCAGCTGATGAGCCGAGTACTGAATATCACAGATCCGTCAGGTGGTTTTAAGATGCCTTGTATGTCTGGGGCTTTTAACTCGGTGTACAGCCGTACATGGAACGGTAACCAACTGTCTGTGTGTCGTTACCGCAATAGAGCTGTCACCGGGAGGGATCACGTCATTAGTGAAACGTGGCAAAGAGCAGACACCAGCGGTGTCTGACTGAACGGTATACACAACTTCCGGTCAGACCCTTCAGCATCCTTCTTATTATACATCCATGTTCAGCATACACCAAAACAGACAACGATGTTATTACCATTTCCGGTCCTTCAGTTTGCATCTAGTTCCTTGCAGTCTTCACTTCCCTGTTCATTACATCCCATATATTTATTTATCACTGAACATAAATTACCACAATAAATATGATCAATGTAATAGTTTTTCTAATAAATTAACTTAAAATATTAGTGTCAGTATTATTATAATAGCTGTCATTAGTGCAACTCATTTAATGTCTGTTTTATTATGAATTTACATTTTTTAGCCCTGTAGCCTGAAGTAAATATTTGACACACATGTAACTGTGTGAGACGTAGAGGGTCTTCCTCAGTAATCATGTATTTTACAATTTAAAGGTTTTGTGGAGAAAAGACAATAACATCCAGCAGCAGTATGGAAACTCCAACAATTGTTTCTTTTTGAAGGACAAATACAAAATAATGTACCTCTGTGTTTTTAAACCTCCGGTTGGGGTGCAGAGGCCCCTCCACTGACTCTCCAGCAATTGAGTCTTTTGGCCCAGCTAGGAGAGGAAATGAGCAGTATTTATGATAATATATTTACATATATTAAAAGGTGGTGCTTGGTTCTGAAATGAAGGAATTGAGTCCTGCACGTTGGGACAGACAGATATGTCACATTTGACTGCTAGTTTTAATCAATATTGTGAAATTAAGAATAATTTAAAAACATTCCGTGACTTATTACACGTAGACCACAGAAACAAGTTACGAATGTAACACTTTTATTCAAATTATTTGAGAAGGTTTTGAGTAGTGACAACAAAACACAAATGTTGTTATCCTTTATAACTGTAACTGAGCCATTTCAAGCAAGTGTTCTGTTTGAGTTCAATTCTGCACAAGTGTATGTAATTCAATGTGTGCCATAGGGTATCGCTGTCCTTTTACCTAGGGCACAGGTATTTAAGGGATGCGTTGCCACAGGAATGGGTGTGTCCGACCTCGGAAGGGCAAATGGTAGCTGTTGTTCTTGCCACCCAAAAATAACAAGGGAATTATTATGACCTAGTCTTTTAAATGTCATCTTTCGGCTTTGACTGTTACTCTCTTATTCACAACATGCACTTACATAAGTTGCCCTCTTCTTCTGTCCTTCTGGTAGATCATTTGTCGATACTGTGGGCACCAAAAACTAAATCCCATTCATGTCTATTATAATATGATAATTCATATTATATATATATATATTGTGGTGGAGGCTGTGTTCCTGGATAGAACAGAGCTTAGGTTTAAACGTGATTATTTAACATTAGAACACACGGGACTGAAAAGAGTGACAACAGACCATACGGCTGTGGGAAATGTTGGACTAGCTGATAATAAAACATTACGAAGTCAATTGATCATACACACAGCTTTGCTTCTCCAAAACTAAAAATCAGGGCTGACTCAGCAGTAATTAGGTGTTAGAAAGTGTTACTTTGAATTAGTAAACATTGAATTTATACACTGGATAGATTCCATGATGTTGTTTTGTCTTTGAATGATGATTAAATCTCATTAAAAAACAGTTGAAAAAGGTCAATTACATTTACATTACAAGCGACAAATCAATACCATGGTGAACATCTATATGATTAAGAAAAAACATAATAGAATATTGTTTTTATGTAATATTCAATGTGATCAGTTGGGTTGAGACATTATTTTTCACATACCAAGCTGATACACAAGATGCCAACATGTTCAAATGAGAGCTGTGCATTATACAGTATGTGAATTGTTGGAACAAAGTTAGATAGTACACAAATAAGTGTAACAAATCCTATGACAGAGAGGAGGCAGCCTCCTCTACTCTGGTCTGGGTGTTCTGATGGTTGTGCTGGTTCTGATGGCTAAGGCTTTCCATGGCAGACTGGATGGAGCAGAGGAGGTGCTGTGTGCGGCTCTCAAGAGCTCCACAGTGACTCTTTATCAGCTGCAGGGTGTCTCTTAAAACTGGAAACAGAGAGACTTAGTGAGTGATGAAATGCTGAGAGGAAATGTGAGTTCAGAGTGTTGCATGGTAGCTGACAGACGTACATGGAGACATGTGGTCAATGCAGCGGAGGAGGAGCTGACCGCTGAACAGCACGCTGGAGGTCACAGAGGTCAGAGGCTGCTGGACCCTCACTGCTCTCTGAAACACACACACAACCATTATCTATTGAAGTGCAAAGAGCCGAGTCAAAGAGAAGATCTGTTCTTCCCCACAGATATGTGCCCACCTATGCAGACAGCCACAGAAGTGCGCATTGTGGAGCAGGCTCACCTGGTACTCAGCAAGAGAGGACTTGACCCCGGCAATATCCACAGTGGGCACAGTCTGCAGCTCCATCTGCTCTGACACTGCATGCAGCTGCTGAATGAGCTGCTCCAGCTGCGAGCAGAAGACCTGAAACATAAAAAATGGATAAACACAATTCGATTTCGAAGCCACTCAAAACACTGAATCCAAACACCAAGGCAATGTTTTCAGGAATACTGCAGTGGCACTCTTACACAGCCAGTGTCTCTACCTGGATGTGCTGCATCAGGGAGTCACTGTGCTGCTCCTGCTTCTCCTGGCTGCCAGGCAGCACCCTGATACTGGGTGGACAGGCTCCCCCACCCCCCCCCTGCAGGCTCTACCCAGGCTCCAGAAGGACTCCTCACTGTTGCAGAGTCCCTGTGGTCAGCTGCTGATGGACAGGATTTTGGGATAGAGACAAACATCTTAGAGACAAACTGGATTCAATCTTGCATGGGATCATACTAGTGGTCATAGATGTTGTGTGTGTGTGGGCGGGGGGGGGGGGCTTAATGACTCGCTTAACGGCTATTTTCAACTAAAACTTTATTTTGATCTGAACTACCGAGACAGACAGACAGGCGGACAGATAGACAGCAGACTACCTGAGGCTCTCTTCTCCTCTTCTTCTTCTGGTGTGTCCTGCAGCACTTCCTGTGTCTCAGGCAGGGGGACGGGGGAGAGGTTGGAGCCCCCCCACTGCACAGACTCCCAGCTGGCTGTGACCTCTCTCACCTTCACACACCAGCAAAACATTTCATCTTTAGCTGATAACTGCAGATTAAAGCTGGAAAACACCACTTCATTTGAAAGAGCTGTAACTGATTAGATCAGATGTATCAACAATGAATCTGTAAAATAGTCAAAAGTTGGTATCTGATCAAAAGATAATAGCCGTATTAGCTCTGTATGTGATGAGAGTTTCATGCGGTTCAATTGTTTTTCCCTAGGTGTATTTCAAACTCAATGTTGGCCAATGTTATCTTTATTCTACTGGATATATAGCCTGCATATTAGTTGGCCAGAAACACCATTTAAAAACATCCTGCAGTCTCTGAGTAAGGATATGAAAGGAACATTTGACTTCGGCCATGTTCAGAGGCCTTAACAAAGATGTACCCTCCAGTCATCCATGATCACAGTATTATTTGCTGTTGCAATATAGGACTGTTGTTACATATTTATACTCTTACTATATTTATTTACAATGTTGGTTTTAGCTCAACTTATTCCATTACATGAATATAGTTCATTAGTTCTGCATAACTTGCACATTGGTCACAATTGTATATCTATTCTGTTTCTTCTTTTCGCACTATTTCTTTTGTTCAATTGTTTATGTCTTATATACAGTGGAGGAAATAAGTATTTGATCCCTTGCATTTTTTTTTAAGTTTGCCCATTTACAAAGAAATGAACGATCTATCATTTTAATGGTAGGTTTATTTTAACAATGAGAGTAAGCATATCAAAAAGAAAATCCACAAATTGACATTATATAAAAGATACAAATTGATTTGCATTTAACTGTGGGAAATAAATATTTGATCCCCTTGCAACAAACAAGAATTCTGGCTCCCACAGACCGGTAGCATAACTCCTCTTCCTTTAAAAAAGTACTCCTAATATCAACTTGTTACCTGTATAAAAGACACCTATCCACAGAATCAATCAGATTCCAACCTCTCCACCATGGGCCAGACTAAAGAGCTGTCTCAGGACCTCAGGGACCAGACTGTAGACCTGCACAAGGCTGGGATCGGCTACAAGACCATCGGAAAGCAGCTTGGTGAGAAGGAGACAGCTGTAGGTGTGATTATTCGGAAATAGAAGAAACACAAAATGAGCATCAATCAACAATCAATCGCCCTCGGTCTGGGGCTCCACACAGGATCACCCCCCCCCCCCCCGTGGGGTATTTATGATCATGAGAAAGGTGAGGTATCAGCCAAGAACTACACGGGAGGAACTTATACCAAGAAAACTATTGTCACCAAGAAAACTATTGGTGACACACTACACTATAATGGATCAAATCCTGCAGCAACGTCCTTCCTGAGATGTGCACAAACCTGGAGACCAACTACAAGAAGCGTCTGACCTCTGTGCGTCCAACAAGGGTTTCTCCACCAAGTACTAACACATGTTTACAAGGGGGTCAAATATGTATTTCCCATGGTTAAATGTAAATCTTGTCAATGTCAATTTATCGATTTTCTTTTTCATATTCTTTCTCTCATTAGTCAAATAAACCTACCATTACAATTATAGACCATTCATTTATTTGTAAGTGGGCAAACTTACAAAATCTGCAAAGGATCAAATAATGATTTACTCATCTGTATATATAATGTTCCATTGTTAGTGGAGCCTGGACTTCAGATTTGCATTGCCATAACTACACTGTAGCTACTGTGCGTATGATAATAAAGCCTTTGAATCTAGAATCTTGAATATGAGGAAGCAGCTGTTTGAACCAGATGCAGGTCAGTGGTCTCAGAGTGTGCCCACCTGTCTGGGCAGCAGCTGCAGCCCCTCCAGCTGCTCTGGAAGAGGGCAGAAGACCTCGTCCAGCTCCTCAAATGCACACCTGGACAGTGCACATTGCTGATGAGGACTGCAGTACAAGTCTGCAAGGGAGAGCGAGGTACCAGAGGCTTTGAGCCCCCATAGGCTAGGAGACCTGTGCCCCCCACTGAGAGACAGACTGGCAGAGCTACATAGGAGGTCCTGCTCTATCCCTGAGTCCTGCGGGTTGAGAGTGTGTTCCTGGTGCTCAGGGCTGGCCCCCGCACAGAGCGGCTGTCCCGCTCTCAGAGGGTAGCTGTAGTCCAACAGCGCTTGGTACTCCCTGTTAGGATCCCAGCTCGCGGTCTGTCTGTCCGGAGATAGAGGCAGAGCTGGGGGGATGGCACAGGCCCAGTACTCGGCCTGAAAGGGAGTCACAGGATGTCCTCCAGAAGGGCACAGTTTGCCCCCCCCCCGACGACTCCTCCTGGAGTCCCCTGAGCGAGGGCTGTATGTCGGATGCAGGACGGCAGAGGTCAGCTGCAGGCGCACTGGTTTGTTCAGTCTCTGGACTTTCATGTTGGAGTTGGAGAGGCTCTGCTGAGCGGATCTGCTGCCAGGGAGAGTGGACAGCCGGTCCCTGAGATCTGAAACAACCATGGGTGAGGCAAGGTCTCTCCTCCAGGGTGAAGGAGGGGACATGTCCCTGTAAGAGAGGCTGAAGCTGTCTGGGCTGAGCTCCTCCTTCACTCTGCTGCAGGAGGTCCTGTCAGTGAGCTGTTCTTCAGGTCTGCTGACAGCCAACGGGTTCTCCTAAAAGGCACAGACAGCCGTCATCTGTTACAGGGAAGGCTTTAAAGCAGTCACTCCGTTAGAGAAGTTCTGCAACAGCTGTATTCACACTCTTCACATTTTTGAACTGGCTTTGCCTCACAGTGAATCCTCAATGTCATCATTCATTAGAGAGGGTTAAGTGTCTAATATTAACAGACGATATTACAACGTGTATGGGACACTGGGAGTAAAATCATAAGAAAACTCTCAGCCATTTGTATAAAGCTCACAGTACAGTGTATATACAACAAGTCTGTGTATTTAAAACTCTTCATTTGACCTGACCATTGTTAGGGAAATTGTAGGTATGACTTTTAGATATATACAGGAGATCACATGACATTTATAGTCCTCATAATAAGCATAGGTATTTAGTTAGATGCAGCTTCATTAAAGGGATAGATGAAGTGTGTACTCCACCTTGTCTGTGTGCTTCTTTAGGATGGACGCATGTTGATGTGCAGAGAACAGGGGCGTCCTCCTGACATACTGTCTGTCTGCAGCCACAGTAACACGTGTGTGTGGTGAAGAAGGACTGGAGCCTCTCCTGCTCTGTTCATACTCTGGGAGAAGCACCCCCCACCTCTGGCTGCACCCATTAGCTTCCATTGGACAGAGGAACTGTAGGAAGGTCCTGTCAACTGAGGTAATAAATCCACCTAAAACCTTAAAAAAAGTTTTGATTTGTTGCTTTATTTTGTAGTTTAATGCATGAACCTTGAAGGAACAGCCGATTTGTGTCCAGTGTCATGTTGATGTCCATAAGGAGCACTGTGACTCAGGAGGGAAGATGTTAGCACATCTGCCAACATCTTCCTCTTTATGCTCCTTGTGACACACATATCTATAACGACCCCACAGCCAACATATCTCCTCAATTAATAAATAACAGAATATTGAAAGACAACATGCTTAAAACACACACACACACACACAGCTGTGAGCTCTTCTCCTGGACGCTGCCTACTGTCGTTCAGTTAGGAACCAAACCCTTCATTCTCCACTTTTCTTATGCATGTGTAAAGGCTAATATGACAGTTATTTATCTATAGTTACGTCTGATCACAGAAATGAAAGGACTAGAAGCTATAGGAACAGAGAGGAAGTCAAGAGAACAGGAATCTGTAGTACAGTGGCTGAATTAGCTCCAGACTGGATTAAGCACACAGCTCTAACAAAGGGCAGCCAGATGAAAGCAACTGAGTCTTTCTCCTCATGAGTAATTAAGCTTGTCAGAGAATAATTCTTCCTTACTCCTAAGATATTTAACTTTTCTGCCTGTTGACGTTTATGACCTACCCTGACTCTGTTATCTGTCTTAAGGAATGGGAGGCCTCAGCTATAATGTTGATATCAGTTTTATGACCGGGCAACTATCGGTCACAAATAGTTTATGATAGTGGGAACGCTGGCTTTCTAGCCTGGGTCAGTCAAGTGATTCAGTGTCTCCAGATGTTCGGGATATCTCTAGTGTTCCCAGATGTTTACGTTATCTCCCCAATATGTTGATTAATTCTCTGTAAACTAGTTAAAAGGTCTATCGAGAGAGAGGCTGGACAGAATTGATGTGGCAACCCACCCGTGCAGTCAGAACCTCTTGCTGCTGTGACTTGTGATATGAATTCTCCGGCCGATACTTGTAATAAAACACCAGTGTTTGACATCAAAGCTCCAACTCTCCTCGTGTCTCTCTGAGTCCTGACTCTCCATTGCTGCAGAAGTTTCCCTTACAAAGCTTATATGTAACATTACACTTTTTGTCTTTGGAGAATTTTCTATCTCCATACCATACAGAAAAGAATGTATGTGCATTTTTAATAAACAATTCTGTCATTATGTGTTAGGACGTTATGCCAAAGGTCCATGAAATCACACAAGCTTCATAGTGCGAGTGAAGGAGGAAGATAGCAGCTTAGATATTTCTAACTGTTTGTAACCATTTGGTTAACCATGAGCCTCAGGATTTTGCACGTTTCTGACATGTTATAACAGTAAAAAACAAACAAACGTAACCTAAAAAAAACAGGAATCTCTTATAACTAGGCCTATAAAAGAGTACAACAGAAAATACCTGATAAATATATCAGCAACTTAACAGGTTAACTCAACAAACCGACCTGCCACGATGACAAAACAAGAAACATAAACTGCGGTTCGATACAGTTCCGAACTACACGGGAAAACAATGGGTAATTAAGGTTAACAGAATACAAAAGGACATTGACAAGCAGGTAGTTTGTTCCGATTGGCTGCTTCCAGTATTTATCCGTCCTCAGCCCTCAGCCAAGCCTTTGCTGCACCAGGAAGTAACCTCCCCGAACGACCAAGGTAACTCAAATACAAATAAAGTTATTAATACAAACAAGTACTTGTGATAGCTGTTCTAAAATGTGTGAAAATAAACTACATTATGTCAGGTTAGAAAGAAATACAAATTTGACCATTTAAATAAAATGTGTGGTGTTAATTGTAGGTTGTTTTACTGCAACTGAAATAAAGTTCTGAAATAACTAGTTACTAGTGGACAGAGTTGGGTGTAATAATATTACTTGTGTTGGTAACGGAGTAGTGTAACGCGTTACTTTTAAAATTCAGTAATCACACTACAGTTACTAACATTGCCCCGACACGCGTTACTTCGTTACTTACTAAAATCAGTCATAATCAAACCTCAACAAACACCTGCAAAGAACACATGCTAAGGTGAAGATAACGCACAGCTATTTGTTGTTTGTTTATATCACGCAGTCTGTTCTTCTTCTCTGTTTTCCGGTTGTTGCCTGTTTTGAATGACGAATACACACTACCGCCGCCTGCTGGTAAGGAAAGTTATTGCCACTCACGCATGCGCAGTTCGTACGTGCTTAGCTGAAGTCTTGGCGGTGTCTGGTTCCAGTGCAACACATGGCCAACACGCAAGAGAACACGCCGACGCAACAGCGTGAGCAGACATAGACTGCGCAAAATACAGATAGCAGGAGACAGAGTACAGCCATGGTCAGATAGGAAAACATTCAGGATCTGGATCAGTCTTATGCGACAATGGAAACTGAACTAAAGAGAACATTTGAAACTTTAGCAGTCTGCGTGATCTGCCTGCAGGGAGGGGCGGGCCGGCCCTGCGAGTAAAGTAACGAGTAAAGTAACGAGTTGCTTTATGTAGAGAGTAACGAAGTAGTGTAATATATTACTTTTTTTTAAAGTAATATGTTACTTTTTTTTTAGTAACGACCCCATCTCTGCTAGTGGAAGGGAGGCCGGGTGCAGTGTTTTTGTTACCCTTTGTGGCTGTGGCCATCAAAAGTAGTCCCCGAGACTGACAGTGTGAAACAGAGTTCAGTTTTCTGTTCTCTTCCTGATATCTCTATAATACGTTTTTTGTTGTTTGCTTTACACTAAGTTTGATATTCGATACTTGCAAATAACTCCACACTTGTATCTATGAGAAACGTTATTCAAAACCAAAAGCATGTGGCTGTTGTTTGCTTAACAAATCACCACCGTTATTTACCATTTACCTGCACCCAAAATGCAAGGAACAAACCCCCCAAAAAGGCTTTAGTTTTTGAGAAACCACTATCCGAGGTCATTACAATAGTAGGTGTAGTTTAAGAAACTGATAGTTGTATCAAAATATTTTACTGCAAAAATGTTTGGTTAATGTTTGGAACCTTCCCATAAACAAAAATAGTGAAAATGTAGTCTCCTCTGAATGGGCTCGTGTTGGCCTTATCCCATGTATCTCTGGAAATAGTTATCAGAATGTCACTTAATTTGTACTTAATGTTCACAGAGAGACATATCATACAATAAAGCAAAAATGGTATCAATAAATGTAACCATCTTTGTAATATTAACACTTAAACACATGTGAATCATAGCGGAAATGGAATAGGACATATTAAATGCAAAAGTTTTGTTATACTTTCCTGTAATTTTTAAACTACAGATTCCAATCACCCAAAAATCTAATTCATGTGTACCATGTATTCTTGTGTTATCTTTATCATTTTTTGTTTCACTATTCACTTCACCCTCTGCTGTCACCAGCCTCTAATGCCCCTTTCACACCAACGCGGTTCCCATTCTAGCTCCGTGCTAGAGCTTTTCTGGTTCGGAACCGGTTTTTTCCTTTCAGCCCCCGCTTTGTTCACACCGCCCAGAGCCCGAGTGGTGCTGCGTCATTGCGTCATAGTTTGAGTCATGACGTAACCGATTACGTGCCTGCTTCATAAATCCAAACCGCACGGAAACCCCTCACATCGACAACAACAACAATGGCCGATTGTATTGAAGCGCTACTCGTTTTGGTTTTGCTCTGTCGAAACGAAATGGAAGAAATGGGACGACTTTACTACGAACTTTACATGAATCAGATGCGACATTCAAAAGTTCTTTACAATCATCATCATCAACGACGATTCCGTAGGAGAAAGAAGGTAAATATCCCCTCCAGCTTCCTCTGTACCTCTTCGGAAGACCAGATTCCCAGTAGCTGGTCTCTTCAGTGGACCACTGCTGCTTATTAAGTTTTAGGTGTTCCATCGTTGTGTACAAACTGCATAAAACGCGGGCTTTTTGTTGTTGTTCAGGAGGTTGATCCCACCCCTGCCCCCGACGTAAGCTTGACGTATGCGGTTCTTGCTTCTAGACCGACAATTTGTTGGTGCTTAAAAAGCACCGGTTTTCGGTTTTTGCTGCGGTTTGAACAGGAAAAAACTGTGCTTTTCAGGCTGTAGCTCTGAACCGGCCCTGGAACCGCGTTGGTGTGAAAGGGGCATAACAGCTAACCTGCAGCCAAAATGGCCGTCAGAATGGGGCCCTATGGGTGTACCTGTGTGAAGGGAAGGTCACAAAGCATAATTAATGCTTAAGGATTAAGAGATCCAAAAATATTTTATAACTACATATCATATATAATAATACCCTCAAAGATACTGAAATGAAGAGCTGTGGATGCATTGAAGAACTTTTGGTTTCACATTGGGTGAACTTCATGTGTTTATTTGTCTGCACCATGTGTTTTTTTCGTATTTGTTGGATTTGTATTTGGAATGCATGATTTGTATTCCATATAGGGGTGCAACAACTAATCGAGTTAATCGATTAAAATCGATGACCAAATTAGTTGCCAACTAATTCAATCGTTGATTTGTTGGGTCTAAGTTGTTACTCTCTGTTTGCGGAGCTGGCTACGTCCATCAGAAGAAAAAAAACATTCGAAAAATGGCGGAGGCGGAGAGAAGCACGGTCCGACTAAAATCTTCAACAGCGTGGGAGCACTTCACTTTAAACAACAGTAAAAGTGTGTTACCTGCAAACTGTGTAAAATCGAACTTGCATGGCACGGGAGCACCACAGTGATGCGGGAAAATCTCAAACGTAAAAAAACAAAATACCCAATCAAGATCCCTCCGCTTCGCGTCGGTCTCTGATCATACTGCCGGTGTTTTTTTTTTCTCCAATAATGACTGGCTTGCTGCACATTACCCGGCTTATTACACGGCCAAATACTAAACAAACTAACGACTAACTTGACTTATTTTTTACTTATTTATACTATGCCAATTTATTGATTCAGCTATTTCAAAGTGTTTGCAAATTTGCAGAAAATAGGTCGGGTTGAAACACTGTGCTGTATATTTATGTGTGTGTAAAAAAGTGTAACTGCACAATCTACCTATTTGTTGTAGCCGTTAGCCGTTAGCCGGTAATTACCGGACTATGACCGGTAAAATATGCTGAAGACCGGCAAACCTAAATCTCTCCGGTCAAAATGTCCGGTCAAAATAATGTCCCCTTAGCGCAATATCTCATCAGCTGCCCCACTTATATGACAGAGAAGAATAGTCCATTCTAATGTCTAACACTTAATGTGGAGAAAGAGATGTCCTGTATGGGTTGATTGTGCGTTGATCTGTTGGTAATGCCCCGGGGTTCCGGTGGGCATGTAAAATGCATAATGCTGCGCTATACTCTGCAGGCCTCACCCGGTTGCATAGCGACACTTATTGTTTAGGTGTCTTTTAATAAGCAGGTAGTCATATCATTAGCTAGAACTAGCTGGATCTGATCGATATGGACATAAACACGAGTGAAGTCTAATCTGACGGGAGAGAGAGATCAGCTGCTGCTGACGAGTCGACACGCAGCTCTGCATGATCACATGCAGCGGTGAGCGGACAAAACACACACTTCAGGTTAGAATATCACACGTAGCTATTTTAATGACCTCTCAAACTACCTAAACTAGTTATAGATATGTTTAGTTTTACTGTCGGGTCACTCATTACTGGATCCGCGAGCTGCATGATACTGACGGGCTGTCAGGAGAGGGAGAGCTCTTCGTTTATTATTCCCGTGTTATTATACATTACTGTACACTTTTGAATAATGTAGTTAATCTACTATAAATAGTTTGTTTAATATCGAATCATATCAATTTGTTTTAAAGCTCAATAAATAAAAAGGAGACTTTTGACCGGCACTTCTCTCATTTTGTCCGGAAGATTTAAACTTTAACGGACATTTTGACCGGCAAAAAAATATTCTAACGGGAACTCTGGTTGTAGCAAAGCCTGTAAACACTTTTTGGTTTGTGATTCACAATTCTATTTTTATAATGTATTATTATTTATAACGGCTCAGGTCCATTAAAGCATTAAAAAACAAAAACAGTTAGGTTAGTTATCATTGTTGATAATTTGAAAGAACATTGTTTTTGTTTGAGCAACCTAAAGAGACATCTTTTTTGTTCAAAACAAGCTGTTATATAGCTTTTGCATATGTTTTATAGCCTACATTTGGGTTGTTTTTGTGTGTTGATGTTGTCAATTTGGAAATGCAGTTTTCTGAATAAAATAATGGAAAACGTTTTTTTTTGCACGTTTTTTATCCGACTAATCGATTCATCGTAGAAATAATCGACAGATTAATGGATCATCAAGTTAGTCGTTTGTTGCAGCCCTATACATTTAGTAACAGCATTGTTTGAGGGAGCCTGACAACACAAACTTTACCCATCTTTAAGAATCGTGAGGCCCTGCATGCTCAGTCCCCTCGAGACCCCGAGTCCTCCTTCAGTATATCAGACTGATCTGCTGCAGGCTCCATGTTGTTCCCCAGTTAAACCCTTATAGTCTACAGATGGAAATGAGGCATTGTTTCGTCTTGGAGTGTACAGGAACAATAATGTGTACCATGTCTCTATGCTTTGCACATAACTTAGACCTATGTGCCTAGTCGTCACACAACCCATATGATGAGTCAGCTCTCTTCAGCATCAGGCCATGCTACATGTTGGTTAGAGCTATGCAGGAAAGTGTTAACACCTGGGGGGTAAAGCTCAAAATGAATAGAAGCTGAAGCTGGGTGAACTGATCAAAGGCTGTTTTATTCCTGATGTCTCCCTGAAAAGTATCATCGAGCAATGAGTGAATCACACCAGCCGTAAGCCCAAATCAGGCCAGGGGAGCAGAGTGGGGGGCTGTTTGATTCATTCATATTCGATCAGTTCGAATATCACTTTATTTTGGCATCCTAAGGAAAAACTAGGTATATTATATTTGAATATTAAATAGAAGGCTGGATGTCATCTTCATGTCACTGATTTGAATGAACAATAACAACAAAAGGCTTTATAACACACATACAAATACAAAGGACCCCAATGTATATATATATATATATACTGTATATCATGTATGATTAATCTTTGATTTATCCAATGTAATTTTTGAACATTTTCCTTTAAATCATGTTAAAATGTTGCCAAGAAACCTGTTAGCTCATGGCATCACAGTAGCCGTGTTATTTTTGTATTCATTCATTTTAACAGGGACAGTGCACATTAATCAACATTTCTGTAAATGTGCCAGAGTTAGCCAAGAGGCTATTTTTCATCTGCAGTCCCTGGATAGTCAAAGATTGTAAAATACAATAAACAAACAATGTGTCTTGAATGAAAAAGTATGATATAATTATAATAATGATAATACATATCATAAATGATATGTAGTTATATCATTTTTTTGGATCTCTTAATCTATGCTTTGTGTACTGAATCTGAACATTGTCCGTTAGGTGATTATTAGATAAAAGATATTAGTCGATTCAAATGGATATATTGCCATATGCAAAGACAATTAAAGACAAGTTTCTCAGACAAGTTCAATTATTCGCTTCTGTTCTATTTTGTAGTTTTTTTTTTTAAATTGCTAAAACACAATTATTGAAGCCATTTGCCCGATTTCACAACACTGTATAAACAAAAACAAAAACGACTCAAACTTACAAAATATTTCTAATTTATTGCAACAGCATAAACTATATAATTGTTTGAAAAGTGGCATTTTTACGTCAACAACACATTCATATTGATTTCTGTCCACACTCCAAATGCACACTGATGTTCTAGGTATTCAAAAAGACTATCTAGACTAGAGGCTTTGGAATTGTCTGTGGTGGCACACTGTAAATAAAGACTATGAAAACAAACACAATAAGGAAACAGAAATGTTTATTCTCAATACTTATTGAAGAATCAGACACAATCACCTCACTATAACTGAAGGGGAAATTAACATGGTTCCTGTAGGGACTAACAAAGAGTCTATTGTGATGACCCCTCCCTCTAACTCTCTAAAATTGGCCTCCATTGTTCTGCACAACAAAAACCAAAATGTAATCCTATTCAAAGCTTTCCAAGTGATTATCTACCTGTGTTTCAATATGCTATCTGGCTGCAGATAGTTTAGTTTGGTATTTTAATCTCAATGTTTGACAAACAACACACAGGCTTCTGGTTATGATGTGTCTGAAGATAACAGTGTGTAGTTCTTGATAAATGTGTGTTTTGTAATATCAAACTTGGTGTGAAGCAGACAATGGGCTTATGGTTTAGCACATCTGCTCAAAACATGAGTCTACATGAGTCAGTGGTTTCAATAATCATGCAAAAAGCTAGAAGTATAGTGTCTATATTTGTTCTAATGATAAGAAATGATCTGATAACTGATGCTGAATTGTGTAGAGGCAGTGTTAACCACATGCTTGATTTGAGTACATTAACCCTATTCACCAGCTCACCTATTCCTGGATCATGTTTTTAATGCTGCAACATTCTATGGGCGAAGAAAACTGCTCCACAGAAGTATTAATATTAAATATTGTTTTGTGTGAACTATTGGGTGGTTTGTTAAGAATTACTCAACTGTTTTGACAAGGAAAATAGCATTTTCGAAAAACCTGCAAGTGCTAACTCTGAAAATGTTTACTGAATTGTGCTAAATGTTCATGAACATTAAACATACTGTCCTTGATCAGGGGTTTAGGCTGATACAATTAGAAGATTGCTTTCATAATTTATATGAAATTTCTATTTTAAAAGAAAATACTATATTTTAAGTATCAATCGGCATCATTCTCAATAAGCATGTTTATTAATATTTATGATACAATATCAAAAGACATCCCAGGCACAGGCATTCTAGGTAGAGGACCTTAAGGACGAGGACGATGGTCTGAAGCGGTTTTATGAGGTTACAGTTCTTACAGTCTGTCTTCTCTGTACAGCAGAGCACTGTTGGAACCAGGAGAGTAACACATGTAACACACCAGTTAAAGTCGAGTCTTTAGCCCCAAATTGTAAATATTAATTGTATTATTTTTTACTGTTATAACATGTCTGAAATTAGCTAAATCCCGAGTCTCATGGTTGACCAAATGGTTACAGTTAGATATCTCTTAGAGCTAGCTTCCTCCTCCACTCACACTATGATTTCATGGACCATGGCATTACGCCCTCACACATACAAATACAGAATCTGTTTATTAAAAATGCATAGTTTGTTCTGTGTTTATGGTAGGGAGATAGCAAAACTCTACAAAGACAAAACCTGTAAGCAAGGTTAATCACTCACTGTAGTCATTTTAAATATAACTTTTGAAGAACAAATTGAAACATGTATTTATGTGTGTGCAGGGAACCGCACGTCCAATTCTACATTAGAGCTATTTAATTCTATTGGCGTTTACTTGAAATATTAACATTGGTCCGTCATCAAACTCAGTGGCGAGCCGTGACTTTTTATAGAAACAGAAACTGAACAGGCAGATTCGAAGGAGTTATTTATTTGGAAATGTTATATTAAATACAATAAAATCAAGTTATTTTGGTAAAACTAATGAAAAATATAACTAAAGAAATATTTTTGAAAAATATATTTAAAAAAAAAATGTTTTTTAGAATATCTTCGGCCCTTACGGCTCGCCACTGATCAAACTAACAACACGCACACGGACCTACAGCACTGTATACAGCCCACAGTCACATAATCACCTGCAGCCCTGAGGAGGATACCATGACAACAAACAGCCGCCCAAACACAAAACAAGCAGACGACCGGAAGCGACACATCACTGCTGGATCTGTGATGGCATGGAGATGAAAATGTGCAACACGAAGTTATTAAGCCGTTGCATGCTGACATGAAGCCATTAAACACGTGCTTCCTGCTTCCGATAAGTTGAAGTATTCATACCAGAAGGTCTTTCAGACAGACAGAAACACACTCACACTCACACTCACCACATCCAGCTGTAACGGCAGCACAGTTGTTGAAGACTCGCCATCTTTACTTCAGCTCCGCCCTCCGCCCATCCGCTGTAACTGTCACTACAGGTGACCATGGATGTATAATAAGAACTGGATACAGCGTGGAAGGCGGGGCCTCATTCATTCCTATGAGAGTTGCTCATTGGCGCATGGATGACAAAATGGCCCAACTTTTGAGAGTGAAACGTCACAGATTACCCAGCATGCCTGAGAAGTACCCGTATGTGCGCTCATAGAGCATGCGCAACTTTAACCAGGCCCCCAAAAGCAATATGGTCTAGCTGCGGCCGCGGCCAGTACACGGCGGTACACGATGGTACACGACACGCCCACCTGACACTACGGTGGCTGAGAGGCATGGCAGATGAAAAGCGAATTGACGACAACTACGCCGCCTACGGTGGAGACCGTACATGGCATGTTATTGTAGCATTTTAAGCAACTAAATTAATAACCTATCCGTTTTAAGCAACTATTAGGCGTTTTAAGCCACTATTAGGCAAATAAATTAATAACCTATCCGTTTTAAGCAACTATTAGGCGTTTTAAGCAACTATTAGGCAAATAAATTAATAACCTATCCGTTTTAAGCAACTATTAGGCATTTTAAGCAACTAAATTAATAACCTATCCGTTTTAAGCAACTATTAGGCAAATCAATTAATAACCTATCCGTTTGAGAACCCCTTGGAACCCCTTATCCCATTTTGATGGTTGACATCTCATTTGAACAGTGAAAGCCAGAATATTGTAAAAATGCTTACCAATGATGTATTAATAATAGGATATATATAGCGCCTTTCATGAGACCCAAGGTCCCTTTAAAAAGAAGAACAGGAGTAGAAACAAACATAACAAAAGGCAGTCAGACAAAACAACAAATAGATTTGGGGCCAAAGGCCTTGGCAGACAGATGGGACTTGAGGGCCCTTTTGAAGGCATCAAGCGTGGGGATGTTGCAGATCTCCGCAGGGAGAGCGTTCCAGAGAGTGGGGGCTGCCATACTGAAGGCTCTGTCCCCGAAGGATCGCAGGTTGGTGCGGGGGGCCAGAGTCTGAAGACCGCAGGTTCCGGGGTAGAGCATGTGGGAATTGTATTGATTGAGCCAGTGTTTCATCGTGTACTTTCAACTGCAGTATATGGTCAGGCAAGTTCAGCATTCACTGTGATGTATATAAAATATGACACTGATACCGTTTTCCTCAATGAACATTTATTGAACAGAACATCAAATGGAAAATCAGAGCTGGTCAACTTAAAAAAATATTGAATAAATAATAAACTCCTCGGAATCTTTCACAAGTCCTTCAGCCTTTGGTGCGCTTCCTCACTCATGTTCTTGGCGAGGTCATGAGAACAAAGTTCCATCTTACTGATAAGACAAGATGGTATAAAGAAGTCATATGTAATATTATAAAATCACATGCATCAGGGGTTGTACACTTTAATGTGTCCATTCACTAACCGACTCTTTAGGAAGGAAGCTGTAAGGCCTCTTGTTATAGGAGTGGTCCTCATCAGTGTCCAGGGGCATCTGTAGACAGTCAACCATTATTTTGACAGTGCTTTACATGCACGGTTTAACTCCTCCAAAAATGATTCAGGCTCGATTCAGAATGACACAGTACCACACAAAACAAATGTTGCATGTACCATAAGTTCTATGTAGTATGTGTTTTAGGAGTAGTAACCCATTCTGAAACAGGCACACAGGGTCATAGATACGTTGAGCGATACACTGACCATGGTGCTGCTTGCATGCGTCCTTTTTACAACTGATCCTGAATGTAGGTGGGACATTGTCGCTAAGGGTCGCCCTGCCTTCCTCACTATAGTGAGCAAACCTCTTTCCATACCTGCAATTAAGACACATTTTCTTCACCAGAAGGTTGAATTTTAGAGCCAGGTGTTCACCCCCAAATCTTCTTGATAATACAATTACAAATTCAAATGTTTTTGTAGCACTGCAGCATACCCTTCCAGTCCAAAGTTTTCCACCAGGATAACACACCACCACCTTCTCAGGAGAGACATGTCATGCTAAAGAAAGAGCATCAATTTTCATTAAGTTTGTTATAGAATTTTAATGTGACTTCTTTCCTTAATACTTACAATGCTGAAGTCAAAGCTGGCCTCCATGGCAAAATACCAGGCATACTGTAATGAGAATTTTATTAAAAAAAAAAGTGACAAAAAAAGGGGGAATTCTATGAAAAAAGGCATTTTGAAGAAAAAAAGTCAAATTCTGAGAAAAAAGTTAAATTTGAGATGCATTGTGGGACATGTAGTTTATGGGCAACGTGCTTCTGTAAATCGCCATGTAACCGTATAATAAACATATTATATTCTTTCAGAGCTCTTGTGGGGCCACAGAAAATGAAGTGGCGGACCGGATTTGGCCCCCGGGCCTTGAGTTTGACACCCCTGCTCTATAATGATACTACAATTCAAATGCAATACCAACAACAACTCAACAGCAACAACGCAAACTACGACAACCCACACATTGCGCATTGTTCATAAAGTGTTGAAGCGCTCAAATTTGAAACTGTTTCAACCTGTCACCTGTCAGAATCGAGACGAGGCAGTGCATTGAATCGCCTGATTGGACGGCGAACCAGTGAGTTGATTCATTCAGGAAATGAAGCAGTTGCTGCTTCGGACGTCACATGTCACGTGATTTGAAGCAGTTGCTGTTTCTGACGTCATATTTCACGTGATTTGAAGCAAGCTTCGAAGCACTGCTTCTATGGAATAGGAAGTCCAGGGTTGAAGCTCTGTTCGAAGCTTCAGTGTCAAACTGCCATCACTACCATTCAGTAAAGAACAGCAGCCGTCACAACCAGTTTCTGGGGTTTCCATGATTATTAAGAATCTTTGATGAAAGCTAAGTTTGGGTTTAGCTAATGCATTTATCATTTTACACGAGGGTTACAAAACGAAAATAAATCAGTTGATGTGAGCAAATGTATTGTCACTATGTAATCTGTTGCAAAACGTCAGCTAGCTGGGCTTATTTGAATCCTAAATCACAGGTTACCTACTCTAGCCACATCAAAACCCCAGAACATGAACCTGATTGAGGCTTTGAACCGATTAACACTTTTTATTTTCCTCCCGAGATCGTGAGGCTTTTCATGCTTTCTCATGGACCTGTAAAAGCTAGCCCTGATGCTCATTCTCCCTGAAGGTAGATCTTTGTTTGAAACTGTGGAGAATTGGTTATCATTCATGTTATCCAAAAAAACGTAATAGTACATCATTAAAACGCTTTACACTGTATCAAGACTGTCAATTTGTCAAAGTTAGCCAGTAACTACAGCTTTGTTTGTCACTTACCTTCATAATTGTCGATGTAGCTGGATATGTAGCTACATCTTGAACCCCTTTTTTCTTTTGCTCCTCGGGGCTGAGCCTGCCGCTTGTACCAGCCGATGTACATCACTGATGTTAACCTTCGGTAGGTCTTGGAGATATCGAGTGTAAAATAGTGCCATCACGTTAACGTTAGCCTTCTCACTTGGTTCTACCGCTATCTATACGCTATCTATCTCTCTATACGCGATCTATCTGCTATAACGCTATCTATCGCTGTCCCTCTATCGCTCTACCGTAGACCGGAAGTTTACAACCACACACTCAATGAACCGAAAATGGAAATACGTCATCCCGTGCAACTAGCCTAGAGTGGCAAAGTCCCTCCCCTTCCGGGGGAGCTCCATGGGACCTTATTTCGGAAAAATGATGTATTGAAGTCAATGGAGAGAGAAAGATTATCTTTCAATCCCGTTTGAATTGTGCCACGAATTACACATATGATGTTTGTCAATTTAAAAGATAATTTTGCAAGTCAAAACAATTCAAATGTGTCGTAAAACTGTGAAGTAACACATTTGTTTGTGTGAAACGCTCAATGAACTACATCTCTGGTCTCGCACAACAACACACGTCACCAAGATGGCCATCACTACTGTCTTGTCAACAAAACGATTGCCTACCCTCACTATTACCACAATGAAACACATCCAGAAGAATGTCATGCAAAGCTGCCTGCCTGCCTTCCTTTGATTCTCTCTGAACTGCCTGGTCTTTTTAATGTTTAATGTCAACCATTTGTGCAGATAGCATGAAGTAGAACAGATCGCCGGTGCTAATGTAGCGTTAGCATTTCTCCCCCGGGCTTAATAAATGGTGTATTATAGAATGATCACACCGGTGACAGTACTCTTCAAAGGGTTCACGAAATATGACTACTACTCTTACTGTTTAACATTTTGGGTTACTTAATGTTACTTCATATTAAGGCTAATAAAAATGACAAGGCTAAGACTGTAATGCTAACTAACGTGCTCTCCTGGTCCTTTCATCAGACGGGAAGCGAAAGAACGAGCAAGACCCATTGCTGGTATGGTTACAGCCTGTTACTAAGCACACAGGCATCTGTTAAAGTTATCTTATCTTAGCTATCTCTTATATTTAGCGGAGGAAAACAATTGTGACATCACTTACGCAACTCTGGGATTTGTAGTCTTTCTAGTTGCGTATTTTTCATAGTCTTATATTTCAACAGTTTTACGACAAACTGTGACTTTTTTGACATGGAAATTATTTTTTAAGATTGACAAACATCATATGTGTAATTCGTGGTGCAATTTAAACGGGATCGAAAGATACGTTTTCTCTCTCCATTGACTTCAATACATAATTTTTCCGGAATAAGTAGTAGGTAAGAAATAGAAATGGCTTACGGTAAAATAAAAGCGTGTCACAATGCTAAATCCTAAACATCACTAAATTCATTAAGAATAACTTCACTGCTTTCTGATAATTACAGCTCTTTTGATAGTTCGATTCTTTTTGAATGTTTGTTAGTTGAGTTGAAGACCAGGAAACAGAGTAGGTCGAGGGTCTGGTTTGAGCAGAGAGAGTTACTGCGTCATCCTTCCATGAGGCAGCCTAGACAGAGAGCTCTTCGTCTTTGATTAAAAGAGTTTGCTATCCTCGCTCCTCTCAGTTTTCCACTGAAGCGACCAGGTATATATATACATTTATGTATCTATTTAGCGCTTTGAGCACCAGGAAAAGCGCTTTATAAATGTAATGTATTATTATTATTATTTAGGCAGCAAGACTAAATCATACATTCTTTCCACTACTTCATCATGAATAAATACAATAATTGAGTAACTAGATATTATGAGGG